TAAACTTTTTTGACCCTGTGCATAGAAGTTTGTGACCCAGGACATAACAAATGTATTTATGAATCATTGAAGAAAGACTTCACAGGGTGGTTGTTCTTTCTGTGTTGTATAGTTTTTTTTTTTTTTTTTTTAAAGAGTAAAAGAAGGATAACATAATAATAGGGGGGACTTAGCAAATTACAGACAAAATGGTAGGAAATTATCAATGGTTATCGTTTTACATATTGTTATCTACAAAATAGTTTCTCAGGAAAACAAATAGACAAATAATAGTGAGTTAGAGACAAAAGAGGTAGGAGATTATCAAGAGTTGTTGTACTATACTTTGGTATCTTCAAAGTGGCTTCTAAAGAAAATAAATAGAGCTATACATGAGTGACCTATTGAAAAATCATTAACTATTCTCAATGGTTGTTGTAGGAAACACATAATAATAAACATACATCCATTTATGAAATAGGATAGGAACATTACAAACTTCACAGTTATGGATAGATTAGTAGGAAAATATCAATGGCTGCTGTAGTACAGTTTTATTATGCTGCCTACCAATGAGTTTTACCCTCAATTCAAAAAATCCTGGTTCATCTGTAGACTGTGAGGTTCCCAGAGCCTCCCTAGTAGTGGGAAGCCCAGCCTAAATTGGCAGGAAACAACCAGTGTCTTTCAAAGAAATGGACTGTTCTTACCTTTGATGACAGCAGTTAATACTTTATATGTATTAAAATAACACAAAGTACATTGACCCAGATCCTAATTAGATGCTTTTTATTAGCTTAAAAGTATCATTGACTTGCTCAATACACATGACCACAATTGGAGCAACTTTAGATTTTTGTTTTGGTTTGTTTGTTTGTTTTGAAACAGAGTCTCACTACCTATTTCAGACTGGCCTTGAACTCAATATGGAGCCCAGGCTAACCTCAAACTCACAGCGATCTTCCTGCCTCAGCCTCCCATGTGCTGGGATTACACGTAGCTTTAGATGTTTTGGTTTTTAAATGCCTTAAAATGTGTGAACTGGGATGGTTTCCCATGCATCCCAATTTAGGGTGCGTTTAGTGCAGCTTCCTCCTAAAGCACCATCTCTCTGGAAGCCCTGCCCTTTCCTCTGTAGGCTGCCACAGGGTAGCAGAGCAGCCGGCACACCAAACTACTACTGTGTGTGGCAGGCTAAGAGCTGGTGGTTTTCTAGCATTGTGGGCCTTTCACTCCTGTGCAGTAGGATTCAGGGCTCTGCACCAGGCGCTTGTGTTCCGTCTTTTCTAGAGAGGGATGCAGGAGATCTGTAATGAGAGACATGTTCTTCTGGGGACTTCGTCAGTGCTGAAAAACTAGAAGTTCTTAAATACATAAAAGAGGCAAAATAGATCCTTGAAATCTTCCTGACAGGTCAATAAATACATTTTTTTGCTCAGTCTTAAAGTTAGAAGCAGTTGAAGACCTTACCTACCTTTGTAGTAGCATTCTTTAGTTTATCTAGTCATGATTAATTTTTTTCCCTCAAAAATTTTTTACAAGTTTTAGAAAATAAAGATATTAAAAATAAAAGATCCAAATTTGAAACAGTTTGCCATGTATGTCCTTCCAGACTACTTTTGGTGTACACATTACCTTAAAGAAAAGCATTTTAAAAAGCAGCTGACATACTATACATGCTATTTAGTATAAACTAAATAAAATGTTACAGACTTCTGTCTCAAAATACATGCATTTCTATCATTGTTAATGGCTGAGTAGAATTTGCAGTATGCATGTATTATAATTTAACCAATTCCCTGTTAGATGTTTAGGTTGTTACCAGTTAGCTTTTATAAATAAAGCTACACTACACATGTTTATACATATCATTACAAAGTTGATTACAGCATTTAAAAATGAACCAGAAATTGCAAGTATTTTTATCCTTTAAAAAATATTGCTATACAGAAATCTTTTATAATTTGTTTAAAGAATATTTACCTGTTCTCAGTACTGTCACCTTTGCTTTTATAGTGTGAAATATATATAACTTCAGATGGAAATTTGACTTACTATAAACTGATCTAGTTCCTGCCCTAATTTTCAGATAATACTTCTAATGAAAAACATTAAACAGACTAAGAGGGCTGGGGATATAGCTCAGCAGCACAAACGCCTTCCTGGCAAGCGCAAGGTCCTGAGTTCAATTCCCGGTACCAAAAAAAAAAAAAAAAAAAATTAAAAAATTAACAGACTAAGAAGAAACAAAACATTTTGTGTGGTGGGTTTCTGATCCATTGTAGTGACCTACTTGTTAAATATTTATGACCTCAAGGTAAATGGCCATTGTAGAATTATACTAGACTAGGAGAGGCTTTTGTAGTGAAAAATTTTTCTTTTTGGATTATCTTTATTTTTTTGGTTTTTTGAAACAAGGTCTCGCTGTATAGCCCAGGCTGGTGTGAAACTTACAGAGCTCCTCTTGCCTCAGCCTCCTGAGTGCTGGGATTACAAGTATACACTACCATGGCTGGCTGTTCTTAAATTACCTGTTATTTCTTAAGGTTTTAAGTATATTGAATTTAGCTAACCCTGACATCTGAATTCATTTGTCTCATTAATGCTACTTTTTACGAAAAAAAAAAATTTTTTTTTGTTAACTGTGACTGTCTTCTACCTATAAGCAGTGGAGTATGTGAAATGTTAAGTAGCTCCAAATGATTAGGGGCTATCATGAGTCTTGGTACTGGGCTAGTAATGATGGATGCTTTATGAATATTGCTTCTTTTGATGTTTCAGATAAATTTTTCATATATATATAGTTAATTTTTTGTCAAAATATGGATAGAGCGAGGCTTTAGAAATCATATTATATACCTGGAAACATTTTATGTAAATTTATTTTTACAGTAACAGTATATAACAGTCACAGTGAGAAGAGTTTGTAAAAGGTAGAAAAATTAGTAGTCACAGTCCTTCCACTCTGACATAACTGCTGTGCTCTCTTATGTCAGTCTTACGTGTGTGGACTTTATATAGTTACTAGCAGATATCTGAAAACCAGAGCCTTTATTTAAGAGAACATAAATTTGGATGTATGAAGGGGACAAGTTTAAAAAAAAATTATGTATCAGATCACTATTATAATCCTAATTTTCTTAGGCATTGATCCCTTCCAGTCTTACGTTACATTACAAAGGAACTGCTACTGAAATGCAGGGTTAAAATTATAAAAACTGTAATTGTGAAATGCATCCTTGCTGTTATCTTCTACCTCTACAATCCTAGTAGTCTCAGAGGCAGGAATTTCTGAGAGTGACTATAACTTTGTAAACAGTAACTTCATCAGGATGACTAAAACAAGCCAGGCATGGTGATGCATGCCTGTAATCCCAGCACTCACGAGGCTAAGGCAGGAGGATCAAGTTCGAGGCTAGCATGGGCTACATAGCACGGCCCTCTCTCAAAAAAAAAAAAGATTAGAACACCAAATCATGTTGTATTAAAGAAAAGATGCACCCTCATGCACACACACATTGCAAAAGTGTCAACATAACTTCCTAAGAAATATATATTCTGCCTCGATTCTGCATCCTGTGTCCAGGATGAGATGATCACAAACTTGGCATGGATTTTTAGTTCTTAATCTTTTCACCAGAATCCATCTTATTTGTCAAGGGAGACATCTTTTTTTTTTCTTCTTTTTTTTTTTTTTTTTT